GCTATCATGTCCCTCCTCGTCCTTCTCTTCATTAAACTAGACATACCCAATTCCAGCAACCGTTCCTTATGTGTTTTAGCCTCCAGTCCCCTGATCATCTTTGTTGAGAATTGAGAATTTCTCAATTCTCAGTTCATAATAACTATATTGCCATGGTTGTTGATATTTCTTGCCAACAATACAGAGTGGATTGTTCTTCCTTTATTCCAGTTTCCTAATCCAATCTTCAGCCTTGATATTTTCTGATTGTCTCCCATATGAGTATTGGGACAAATATTGTATGGGACTGACAGGTAAGCCACTAGTACTGGTATATAAACAGAGAGCAAACCTCAGTCATTTCCAGCACTAATGATATTACCTAGTTGGGTAAAGAAACGTCTGCAAGAAAACAGCCAAGCTCAGAGAGCACCAAGGACCTTATAATATTAACTAGAGATGTATCTGTATGTTGACCAGGGAACTTGCTCTCAAATTTCTAGAAGAAAGAGAGAAAGAGGAAGTTCTAGTGTTGCTATTTCCAACAAGGCAGTGGTTATTCATTCAAGAGAAGTTCTAGTGTTGATATTTCCAACAAGGCAGTGGTTATTCATTCAAGAGTTGATATATGAATAGAAGCTCTTGAGCTGATGATGGCACAGAATAATCATGAGCAACTGTAGGATAAGTTTAAGAAAACAATAAAGGAGGAAATGGCAGGAAACTCACCCCGAGGCTTACGGAATCGTCCAAAGGAAATTGTTCCACTGGGGAAAGGATGGGTGGGGTTAAAAAAAACACCAACCAACCCCCCCTTTTTTGTATTTGCTCCCATAACCTCTTTTCCTTAAATGCTGACGTTAGCAGCAAGACAGAGTAATCCTAATGGGATCGGGATGGTTGCAGAAGTAAAACTGGCAATCTAAAACTGCAATTTACTGATATTTCTTTGCATTCGCATTTTTCTTGGCATGAATCAAAGGAACTACTCCATGGATTGTCTCTCCTGTACAAGCCCTACCCTACGGACAAAACTCTTGTCAGGATGTGGGAGACCAACAGAACTTTATTTTTTAAAATAATAAAAACTTGCAGAATCAGGCTGAGTAATTTCCTTATATTGTGATATCAACCAAAGCTCTTCTTAGCACTGTTGGTTTAGCTGACTTGCTTCCTAATTTTGGTGCGTCAATTCTTCTTTTAAGAAAGGTGGTTTTGGTGCCTGCAATACATCCAATTTCCAGGTGGAGGGAAAAAAAGACAGAATAACATCCTTCCTTACTGTATAAAAAATTTGCAGTATTTCCATTTCAAGGTCTCCAGTGAAAGAACAGAACAAGGAAAGCCATCAGCTACTCACAGGGGGGAAAGGGTGTTGAGAATTATGACACTATCATCTATAAAAGAAGCACTGGGGTTTTATTAGTAATATCCTTACAACTGCATTGTGTTCTTGAAATAGCAGTAGCCTTGAGTAAATGGATTCAGACTTGCAGGATATAAAAATCAAACTAATGTGATCTACCATACTCCATCCCAGTCCAACCAGCTTGGAAGCAAATTTGAGCTGCAGTGCTGAACATGCAGATTAGGGAATAAAATGTATTGAATGCTGGGAAGTGGTTTCTGGATAACCTGAATAAGGACTTCCCAGTTAATAACTGTAAGGTTCCAGTCCCTTACGTGAACTTGAGACATCATATCATTCTAATCAGATAACCCAAGCGTAGACTTCTTGATCAAGCAGCACTTTATCTGATCAAATTAAGCAGCTGGGTGGCAAACAATCTGGAACGCTGGCAGAGTTACATCCAGAAGTGCCACACCTTAGAAAGTTGGTAGCATTGCTTTATAAACTTTGTTACCCAATGAAAATCAGACAACAGAGCCATTATAACATAAGGAAGACATCAATCATTCCTGTACACTCCCTTATTCCCTCCTTCAGTACATCCCATCCATGTACATGATTCTCACGCCTGCATGAGATTTCCCTGGTGCAAAAGCCGGTTACAAAAAGCAAGAAAGCAATAGTTAGACTACATAATTTCCCTTTGTTCCAGAACCTTTCATAACAATAGCAATAGCGATTGGACTTGGACTTATATAGCGCTTTATAGTGCTTTACAACTCTCTCCAAGCGATTTACAGAGTCAGCAGCATATGAGTCCTCATTTTACCAACCTCGGAAGGATGGAAGGCTGAATCAACCTTGAGCCGGTCAGAATCGAACTCCTGGTTGTGGGTAGAATTAGTCTGCCATACTGCATTCTAATTATTGTGCCCCAACGGCTCTTTGTTAATCAAAGATGTTAATCTTTGTTTCATAGATGATTCTCTTTCTGAATATGTTTGCTGAAAGTCCTACTCTTCAGAGGAAACCACTTTCCCTGCCCCAAACGTATGACAATAACCATTTCTGCTCTCTGTATCGATCCCTTCATGAGCTGGGGGGGGGGGAATCACCTGGAATTTTGAGTTCATTTTATGGGCAAAAGGATTGCCAGCACTAGATCACTAATCACAACATCTTTATAACAGATGGCAAAAAAAAAATAAATGCTGACTTTTCCCCCTCTCAGAATACATCTGGATGATTTTGTGACCCAGAGGCCGTGATGGAAATTGTAACGGTCAGTTCATAGGAGCCATTTCAAAGAAATTGAGAAAGTCTCCTCATGTGCTAAGGAATGAAGTGGTTCTAAACTGGAAATAATCTGCTACTAAAATTATTGAAGAGGACAGGAAGGCCTGGAGGAACATTGTCCATGGAGTCACGATGGGTCGGACACGACTTCGCAACCAACAACAAAATTATTGAAATTCTATCTCCTTCATCTCAATAAATCTTGCTAAAGAAGGCTGTGTGTGCACTGGCTTGGAAGCACGATTTGAGGTTTTGTCAGAGCCTGGCCAAAATGGGGGCTCCTTTCTAACAGTTGCCCCCTAAAATAAGAGAAGAGCAATCCAAGTGGAGTTAATATTAACCATTGTTTGGTTGGTATATATGTGAACCAGTTGTTGTGATGCATTTAACGCAATGTGCAAATCAGGCTATAATGGTTGGGAGCCTGTAGGAAGCCCTTGCTTCAGTTCACAGTATCTTTAGATAGAAATAGCTATAAAATTGCTATTTTGCTGTTCAGTTTCAGTGCATGAATTGAGAACTGGGGTGATAAAGCATCTTGTCTTTCATTGCAGACCGACAAAGCTGGCTACACGTCGTTATCAGGCAAAGCCATCAGATCATTTTATTTTTAAAAATAAAATTTCAAATGTTAAAAAAAAAATTGACATGCTGACATCCTCAGAAGTACCCGTAAAGTTGCAGACAGTGAAGAAACTGGACAGCCATTTGTCCGAAATGGTATAGGGTTTCCTGCCTGAGTAGGAGGTTGGACTAGATGACCTCCGAGGTCCCTTCCAACTTTATCATTATTATTATTATTATTATTATCTCCCTTGGGACAGAATCCATTGGGGAGGAAAAAGAAGCTGAGGTCAGGGCTTTTGCAATTCCACGTCAGACAGGTCTCCTCAGAAGCCATCCGCCCTTCTCTTATGCCAGTCTGCACAGAGAGCGACTTTAGACACGGATCAAGCCGAGGTCGTCTAGAACAGGACCAGCTAAAGCTCTCCCTGCGTCTCCACGTGCCACACAAGAGCCGACTGAACTAGGGCGGGATTATTCTGAAAGCAGCAGCAGTTTCAGCTGCGCCTACCCAGGGGGCAGTACGGAGTCAGGAGGTGACTCTATGGTGAATTACGGAGTAAGGGACCAAAAGCGGTGGAGAACGCGCAGGCGCATAAGGAATGCGCCGGAGAGAGAGAGTGGAGGAAAAAAAAGGAATAATCTCCATCCGCTCTTCTGATTGGTTGGTTGGTCTTCTCCCCTCTCTCTCTGCTTCCTCTCAATGTAAAGCGCTCCTCTTTCGCGGCAGGGCCGTGGGAACGGGGGCGGGCAGTGACCCGGAAGTGAACCCTCGACTCTACGGGGAGGAGGGAAAGGTAGCCAGGGGAAAGACGAGGACGAAGGGAGGCCCGGCCTTGCTCCGACCCGCCGGGCTCGCTCCTTCCCTGAGGCCGCGTGGAAGGCGAGGGACCCGCGCTCCATCCCTCGCGGGAGGCGGAGGAGGAGGAGGCGGCGCCGCCTGACTGTCCCGGCTTGGTTTTCTCTCGAGCCCGCCGCCTTCTCGCTCCGTCCCTCGGAGGCCCCTTTCCTCCAGGCCGCCTTGAACGCGAAGAAGGCCTCTCAGGCTGGCCTAGGGGGCGGGGGAGGGGTCCTATTGGCAGGGTGGGGGGCCCTTCAGTTCGTGGGGCTGCTTGGGTGGGGGGGGTCTTCCTACCTTTAGGCCTTCTGGGGGGGGGTGTAATAAAGCTGGGAGGGGGCTCTAGCCGAGGCAGGTGGGCGTCCCAAGCATCAGAAGCCCTCGGGGGGTTAAAGAGAGCGGAGAACGAGGAAGAGGGCATTGGAGGGAGAGGCTTGGGGGGGTCTTATTGAGAGGGGCTTCATTCGTTGGGGGAGGGGATAAAATCTTGAATAGGGGCTGCCAGGATTTCATATATTTCTTTTTTAAAAAAACCATAACCCCTTATGAGAGATTAGAGTTGCTCTCTGCATAAGCCAGGAGGGATCTTGGACATCTTCCATGTTGGTTTAGTGGGAGTCTATGTAGAGATCATGCCAGGTTTAGGCATCTGGGGTAGGTGACTGTTGGGAAGAGAAGGCTTCAGGGTGGATAAAAAAAAAGAGAGGCTGAATGTCCAGCTGCTAGAAGTCGCCCACGGCCGCCGTTCTAGTTGGGTCTCGGGAGACTTTTCAAGAGGAAAAAAATTGAGGATGGCGTTCGTTTCCTGGCGCCCGTTCAGGTGTCCCTAGAAGCCATGGACCTCTGGAGTTTTTAAGAATAATTCAGAGCGTTGATGAAACAGGTCGCCTCCGATCTGGGTCCCTTGAAGTGAAACGTTTCCTCCGGGATCGTCTCTGAATCCTTTTTTTTTTTTTTCCCCGTCTCTTCGTGGTGTGGGGTTTTCCATCAAGCATCTCTGATGCCAGAACAAGGCCCCAGAATGAACGGTTTCTCTCTAGGCGAGCTATGCTGGCTCTTCTGCTGCCCGCCGTGCCCCAGTCGCATAGCGGCCAAACTGGCGTTTTTGCCCCCGGAACCCACTTACACTGTGATGCAACTAGAACAGCAAGAAAATGCTGCTACGGTGGGGACGCCAACCAGCAGTTGTAGCCTACATTTGACTGAACGGGCTGACTGGCAGTATTCCCAACGAGAACTGGATGCTGTTGAAGTCTTCTTTTCACGCACAGCCCGGGATAACCGGCTGGGATGCATGTTTGTTCGCTGTGCTCCTTCTAGCCGGTATACCTTGCTTTTCTCTCATGGCAACGCTGTCGACCTGGGCCAAATGTGCAGCTTCTATATTGGCCTCGGCTCCCGCATCAACTGCAATGTCTTCTCTTACGATTACTCGGGTTACGGAGTCAGCACCGGTAAACCGTCGGAAAAAAACCTTTATGCAGACATTGATGCAGCTTGGCAGGCCTTAAGAACAAGGTAAATGCAAGATGAGCAAAAATGCCTAAGGGAATGGTGGCAGGTGGTAGTTTTAATCGCATCTTTGAGATGCTATCTTGTTTGTAGCAAAATGAGTGCAAAGTTGTCTTGATACAACCGGGTGGACTGTTGTATTCTTTGGGCTGTTCGTTTGCAAGGCTGACTTCGTTGCAATCCCAGATAATCAGCTACTGTAAGTCCTTGCATGTAAGAGACTTTTGTGTTTCTTAAACAGAAACCTTAGTCCTGCCAGTTCTGCAAACCAACCTTTCTTAAGCATCTGATTCTTTGATATGAAATTTCAGTCTTTCTTGAGTGTCTTTGATTACACTGAAAATGGGAGGTTGCTACCAGGGATGCACAAGCCTTTAATTGTACGTCAGGTAACAGAAAAGATAGTAATAGTGATGTTTTGTAATTTATCACTCACTGTGAGATTTGTTTTTTTTGCATTCTTAGAGAACACAACAATATAATGGTAACAGTCAAAATACAGCTATGGGTTGCATTGTGCTAACTAGGTAGTGTCAAACCTATTGTCTTAGGATGCTTAACCTAGGTAGGTAAGGGCAGTCACATAAAAATCCTTCACTCACCAAGCTAGATTTTAATAGGTTCAAAGTTCTTTTTCACAACCAGTAGTAATCAGGACATTTTATAGGGTAGCGTTGTTGGCTTTTAGAGCTTTGGCTTTGTGAAAGACCATGTTACCTGAGAATTCTGGAAATAGAAGTCTGGAAATTGAGGCAGCATACTTTAATCTTTGGCAGGTTGTTGCTGGTATAAAGAAGATACATAGCAAACGTGCTTTGGGTTTAGCCATTTTAATTTGAGTATACCATTTTAGTGTCTGGCTTGAAATTAATATTGAATATCTGTAGTCTTGAATACAAACGTTAGGAGACTGTTCAAGTTCATACTGGCCAATGAGGTCAATCAACTTTGAGGTTGAAGTCTTTTATATTTTCTTCCAGCTTCTCAATCTATTACTCCTGCTCTCAATGAAGAGGGAATGAAAATTATATTCAAGTTACCTGGAAATGAGAAATAGAAGGCATTAACAGGTAGTCCTCAACTTACAACCACAATTAGGACTAGAATTTCTGTTGCTAAGCAAGACTGGTTAAATGAGTCACACCCAGTTTTATGACCTCTTTTGCCACGGCCGTTAAGTAAATCCAACTTCCTCCATTGACTTTGCTTGACTAAAGCCGGTGGGAAGGTTGCAGATGCTGATCACATGACCCCCCTGGCACATTGCAAGCCTCATAAATGTGGTTTCCAAGTATCCAAATTTTACAGGATGCTGCATCAGCCATAAGCATGAAGATCTGCTATAAGTCATTCTTTTCAGTTCTATTATAACTTTCTCTATAAACAAATGATTGTAAGTCAAGGGCCACCTGTATTGAGTACTTATGCCCATAGAATACAGCCTGTGCTCTGAATAGTAATCTCGCAGTTTGGAGTATGTAAGTGAGATCTAGTTAGTAGTATTGTTGCCATTCATGCAGCCAGTTGGGGTTGTCCTCAACTCAAAAGATGTTTTGTTTTTACTGTCTCCTATTTTGAAATGGATAACAATAACAGGGTTGGAAGGGACCTTGGAGGTCTTAGTCCAATCCCTGCTCAAACAGAAAACCCTATGCCATTTCAGACAAATGTTGAAATCAGAGACCAAAACCTCATAAGGAAGTTGAGATGTGATTTTCCCCCAATCCTCCCTTCACACAGATTCCTTTATCTTGATGAGAAAGTGAGTTCCTTTCATTGTACGTTTCTGTGTGTTTATAATTTCTGTAATCTAAGTAAGAGGAAGTATCTAAATCTGTTTGGAACATGGTGACTCCTTTTCCAACTGGGATCAATTCAGACATATTTAGCTCTTAATGTTTTATTCGTTGTGCAGTTTCGGATAAGTTTACTTTTCCCACATCAGAAAGGTACATGATGTGAGCTCAGCGTAGAATAATTAATCGCAGGTTATTAGTCATAGTCCTATTTAATAAAAGTACTGAGCATATTCAGTCCGAGAACTGAGATACAATGAGCTGGCATACTTTTTGCTGAGCAGAGCTTTCTGCTTAATTGCTAAGTAATATTCAGTAACTGATAACAGAGAAAAAGTCATTGTTCAAAGGTCTGATCAGGCCTGGAGCTCCTTATCATGAGCTGAGAAGAATTAATTTCTTCCTTCCTCAATAGACTTTCTAAAAAAGCAAAATAGAGAACCAGAGTAATGCTGCAAGAGAGGATTTGTTTTATGCCTCCCTGTACTCAACCATCGCTTTATTTCCCAATTGGATTTAGATCAGGGGTGTCAAACTGGCGGCCCGTGGGCCGGATGCGTCACCTGGAGGCCATACCCACCCCAACTCCGCAAAGGCAAAAAAGTTGTAATACGTCATGATATGTCACGTGACACGGTCAAGTTTGACACACGCAATTTAGATGATATTTGGAGCCGTGATATAACTCAACTGTCTTGAAATAAATAATTCCTAGTGTGATTAAGTCAGTGGTGTTTAAACTTTCTTATGGTCAAGATTTTATTTAATGGTTAGATTTGTATCCAGCCTTTTGAACAGTAATTCAAGACAAGATCCTAGTTTCCAGATTCGCTGTATGAAGCAAAAGTACACTGAGTCAGCCATACTTTTAAAATTTTGTTTTGCTAATGTGATCCCTTTTAATTTTTTTGCTTCTAAGTGAAAATATTCATTCTTTAGCGTGTGTTAAATGATAGATTCTGGGTTTCAAAAAAACATCTATAACTTAAACGTACTTTTCCTACAAGTCAGAAACCAGCTTTCTGATACAAACCTGTGGGGGTAAACTTCAACTAATGTCTGGCTTTTATGCCTCTGGCTGCATCATGGTTATTTTGCCAGGTTTTATTCAATAATCCACAATCTGAAAAGCGTATTAAGCTGTTCACCATGTTTTATAAACCATACCAGTTTATAAAAGTGGTTTTGCACACACACTAATCCACAATGGGGGAAAAAAACTATAATACAATGCGAGAATCTACTCTATGAATTATTCAACCACACTGGCTTAAAAATCCTTATTGCTTGTTATGTGCATATACATTGCATAAGCAGCATAGTTATCACATGTTAGGTCTACACCCCACTGTGCTCTAGGAAGCTTACATGGATATCTCCATTTTATCTCCAAAAAAAGAGCCATTGAGGTAGATTTGGTGGAGAGAGTAACTTCTCCAAAGTCACTAAGTGAATTTGCCTAGACGAAGATGGGTTTGGGTCCCACTCCAAAACAGCACTATTTGTTATATAGTTGTTGTTTTTTAAGTGGTCTGATTTCCTGGAGCCATTTTTACTCGTCACAGATGTGTGCTTATTTATAAGCCAACTTCCTGTTAATAGAAATGCCTGTAAAGTATTCAGATTGGAAAAAAAAAAAAAAAAAAGCTTGTATCCTGTTCCAGAAAACCTGGGGAGAACTTCCTCTGATGGGTATCTATTGCAGAATTGTTTCCCGGAGTTTGAGTTGTGTACAGATATTGTGTATCACTCCAATTAAAAAACAAAACACCGTAAAGAAATGTAGCTTTCTTCTGAATGATTAATAGTTTGTTCAGTGAAGGGAATCCTTAAGTGGCTAGCAAATGCTTCCTACCTGTGATAAACAGTCTTTTAGATTTCTGATACTCCCTTTGCTTCTTGAAGGACATCTTCAATTAATTGCAACTAATTAAATTTACACACAGTACAAAAGTTAGTCTTCCTAAACCAGGGGTAGGCAACCTTGGCTCTTTTATGACTCGCGGACTTCAACTCCCAGAATTCCTGAGCCAGCAAGCCCACGAGTCATAAAAGAGCCAAGGTTGCCTACCCCTGACCTAAACAAACCAGAATGGTAAAAACACACTGTGCAAGTGTTTATGGTTGTAACTCGAAAATCCAGGCTTTGTGTTTAATCTTATATGTTGCAAAATTTTACGCTCTGCTTTGCAAAGAATTTTCTTATGTTGGAAGAAGTCCAGCAATGTTAGCTGTTGGTATAAGATGTAGCAGTTGCATTTAGCCCTGTCCGCCCTTTTCTATTCCCAAATAACTTGGGAATTCAGAGAGTAAGAGGCAACTAGCTTTGAGGAACAGTTTGCACTAAGTACTACATTGGAAAAGCCAGTGTAGTACTTGTTCTCATACTGATGTTCCAGATTAGGGGGTGGTGGGAGTGGGAGAAGATAACGGCGCCTGCAGAAGGGCAGATAGCAAGTTCCAAAGAGTTTTTATTTGAGCTGCCTTGGAATCTTTCTGGAATTCAAAAAGGCAATATGTTGTAAAAATCCTGGTTTGTGTGCCATTCAGAAAAGGAGGGGGGGAGGGAACAGGAACGTGATTTGCTTTGGTACAGTTTGGTGGGTGAAAAACTTTTTAAGGATTTCATATTCATATACAATTTCATATTCTCATCCCAATATTGTAGGAGAAGGATCTCCTTTTGAAGGAATAATAGCTTGTAAGGCCAGGGGTCTTCAAACTTGGCCCTTTTATGACTTGTGGACTTCAACTCCCAGAATTTTGTGCCTGGCTGAGGAATTCTGGGAGTTGAAGTCCACAAGTCATAAAAGGGCCAAGTTTGAAGACCCCCTGTTGTAAGGCAACATCAACCCAGTGCTGTTGGTGTGTTGAAGCACCATTCTGGTTCCTCCTCTAGCTTAAGAGCTATATTTTTTATCTAATTGAAACATGATAATAATGATAAAGTTGGAGGGGACCTTGGAGGTCACCTAGTCCAACCCCCTGCTCAGGCAGGAAACCCTATACCATTTCAGACAAATGGCTGTCCAGTCTCTTCTTAAAAACTTCCAGTGTTGGCGCATTCACCGCTTCTGGAGGCAGGTTGTTCCACTGGTTTTAATTGTTTTAACTGTCAGGAAGTTTCTCCTTAGTTCTAGGTTGCTTCTCTCTTTGGTTAGTTTCCATCCATTGCTTCTTCTTTTGCCTTCAGGGGCTTTGCAGAATAGCTTGACTCCCTCTTCTTTGGGGCAGCCCCTGAGATACTGGAACAGTGCTATCATGTCCCCCCTCATCCTTCTCTTTGTTAAACTAGACATACCCAATTCCAGCAGCCTTTCCTTATATGCTTTAGCCTCCAGTCCCTTAATCATCTTTGTTGCTCTTCTCTGTACTCTTTCTAGAGTCTCAGCATCTTTTTTACATCGTGGTGACCAAAACTGGATGCAGTATTCCAAGTGTAGCCTTACCAAGGCCTTGTAAAGTGGTATTAATCATTCTAACTGTCAGGAAGTTTCTCCTTAGTTCTAGGTTGCTTCTCTCTTTGGTTAGTTTCCACCCGTTCTATGTAACTACCCCCGTTCTCGCCCCCCCTCCAGAAAAACACAAAAGGCTGATTATTAGAGAATTATTAGAGTTGGATGCTGGTTTATCTGATCCTGAACTGTAAAAGAGAGGGGGGAAAAATCGAAATCTTTTCCTGGCATTTTTTGTGTATCAGAAAGGTGCATAAGTAGTTCTATCATAGCAAATTGGCTCTCATAGCAGCGTGGATCCTTGTTTACAGCTTATAAATAAAATGTGTTGCAAATCTGACTCTGCTTTTCTTTCACACCGTTTTTTTTTTTAAAAGCAAAGCCATTGTGGTCTTAAACTCACGCTGTGTTTAAATTGGTTTGGCAAAAGCCGGACCTGTCCTTTCTGGTGTACTTTGGGTTCGTCTCTGTGGAGATACTTGTGTTTTTATTTCAGAATGCAAGTACACTGTCAGCCAGTCCCAAAATGTACTAAACTTTTACCTTTTCAACCCTGTATCTTTCCACTGTGTCCATCTTTTCTGCTCCCTCCCTCCTTCCAAACATGAATTTGACATCCTGTAGTTTTAGGGAATTTTTCTAAGAGACGATCTGTACAGGAGCAGCTTGCTCATAAATTTTATTCTGAATGTTCCATAAAGTCACATAGTTTTTTCTGTTTTCTTAGAGACATCCCCCCTCCCTTTTTCCTTCAAAGAAAATATTTTTAAGAGTGAGTCCACAACTCTTCTTTAAAATGTATTGGGCTCTCTAAAGCTGGACTACTAGGGACTAGGCTCAGAGAACCTAAATTTAAAAATATACTGTAGGACAAATACGTTTGAGTAATGCTTTAAATATATCTTATGTCTTCCTCATCTATGCATACACCAAAATCAATCATGCCATAATCATATGCACTTTACGATGAATGCAGTACCAACCATTTAAAATAAGCAGGTTTTCCCACTTTGCAAGCACGGAAACTGAGGCAGAAATAAATTACCATTTAGATCCTCATAATGTCTTTGTAAAGAACTCAAATAATTTATAATAATTAATTGCCAGCCTCTTTCATTCACATTTGCTGGCTTCCCTTCTTCGCCCCATCTCTCTCGTAACATTACCTTCCTGAATGAGGAACTTGGCATTGGCTGTCTGATCTATTGATGTCTAGCTGAAACATAAAGTATTTATTAAGAAAATTTATTAAACGCTAGGAATGTGGCAAGGTGTGAAACATATTTCTCTGACAGAGAAGTATAGTGGTGGCTACTATCCAGATATACAGAATTAAGGCCAAAATGATAACCTGGTTGATAAATTTTGCTTTTTGACTTTCCTCATATATTTCCTATTATCCTACCCCAAGTGTAATTCGTGTGTTACCTATAAGCCAGTGATGGCGAACCTTTTAGAGACCGAGTGCCCAAACTGCAACCCACTTATGCATCGTTGAGTGCCAGGTGGGTGTGTCCCATTTGCTGGGTGTGGCCAATTGGGTGGACGTGGACCATTGGGTGGGACTAAAAAGTTCAATCAATCAATTCCAACTTTGCAAGATCTTTTTTTTTCCCGCAAGAAGTTGAAATTGATTGAACCTTTTTTTTTTTTTTGCACATGGCGGCGGAGGCCTAAAGCGAAAAGGTTTTATAAAACCCAGCTGAAGGCCTAGGACTGGGGCGACGGCGCGCGTGCCCACAGAGAGGGCTCTGAGTGCCACCTCTGGCACCTGTGCCATAGGTTCACCACCACTGCTATAAGCTATATATAAAGCCATATCAATAATATATTCCCAGAATTGTACAAAACCACCCCAGGATTTGACAGTGTGCTAGTGTATATCTTATATCTCCCAAAAAAAAGAGAGTCTTTTTTCTAAAAATCTTATATCTAAAAAATTGTTGTTTTTTTTAAAAAAGAATGCATCTCTTTTTAAAAAATACAGTGCATATCTGATCTCCTTTGCTTTCCCCTTGCAGGTATGGTGTCAGTCCTGAAAACATCATTCTGTATGGACAGAGTATTGGAACTGTTCCCACAGTAGACCTAGCATCTCGGTATGAGTGTGCAGCTGTAATCCTTCATTCACCTTTGATGTCTGGATTGAGGGTAGCTTTCCCCGACACCAGAAAAACATACTGCTTTGATGCTTTTCCAAGGTATGTGCAGAATGGCATCTGTGGGAAGCACCATTCATTGATAATAATTAAATTCCATATGTGGCCTTGAAGGAAAAGCCTATAAGTACATTATACATTGTGAAGACGGTAATAATAATCTGGGGGGGGGGGTGTCTCTATTCCCTTAACAGAACAGCAATACAGCAGAGCTGAGCAGCATTAAGAGGGAAAATAGCTAAATTCCATTCTCTTTGAAGTAATTCTGATCTTTGGGGTGATTACCCCACAGCTTAGAGCAGAGTGTGATATTAGATTGCTTGTGAAATGCGTCTGCTTGCTGCAAAATATGTAAAGCCGCTTAGCAAGTGAGCACAAACTGGTGGTGTATTGTTCTTTCTGGTGAGGGTGTTTAAAGTGGGCGAGTTTGAAAATGCCATTTTAAAAGTTTTCATAGAACTGGTAGTACAAACGTTGGGACTAGTTGGAAAAATCAAAATTATAGTTATATAGAAAATAGGACTTCGCAGACAGACCCAGCTGCCATCCAGTTTGCTCAACTCATCTCTCTTTTGGATTCTCAAGACTGTTCTCCTTTTCAGCAAGCAAGAAGATTAGAGATATCTTGGTGTCCAGTAGCTGTTTCTCACTGGAAAAGCCCATCTGACTGGCATAAGAAAGTATCTTTCTACCGTATCTGCTAGTTTTTGCCGCTTTATTCCTGCATGCCAACCAGACATTTCAGATGCCCCTTTTTACAGTTAAGCAGATTATCTTCTCCTGAAACAGGCCAGACAGATCTCATTGTACTACATGGACAGCTTCGTTCATTCCTTGAAGGCAGCTTCTAGGGCAGGGGTCTTCAAACTTGGCCCTTTTATGACTTGTGGACTTCAACTCCCAGAATTCCTCAGCCAGCGTGCCTGGCTGGCTGAGGAATTCTGGCAGCTGAAATCCACAAGTCATGAAAGGGCCAAGTTTGAAGACTCCTGTTCTAGGGGAATGTTCTTTATCAAGACACTATCAGTTCTGGAGGACCCCAAGTGCAAACATTTACATAACATTCTCCAATTCCTTTTTTTTTTTTAAATTTAGTTTACATATGATATCTTTTGATGTCTTTTCATCTAAGCATGGAAAGGGGGACGTGTCCTCAGGCAGAAGGGAATTCTGGACATTGGCACCAGCGCCTGTAACAAGTGGAGCCGAGGGAGAAGAAGGATGCTGAGAGAAATAGTTCAATAGTGGGAGATGCACAAGTATCAAAAAAGGTTTTCAAGTGCCAGAGAACCAGTCGGCCTGCGCTGTCATCTTAATTCAGCAGTCCCCAGCCTTTCCAGCTTGGCAGCCCATCCCAGCACCGAAGAGGGTGTGTGTGTGAGTGGCAGGTGTGCACGCACACAGCTCCATTGTGCAAGTATTGCACGTGCCCTCCACTTGCGTGGCCAGTTTTTGAACAAGTTGCGGCCCAGGGCTTGAGGGACCCCTGATCTAGTTGTTTGAGAATGATGCTTTGATACATGTCCAGTGCTTTTCTGAGCCATCTATTGCAGGGGTCCCCAATCCCCAGTCTCTGGACCGGCACCGGTCCACGGCATGCCAGAAGCCGGTCCGCGCAAACAAGCAAAGCCCCATTCACAGGATGCAGGTGTCAACGCTGCAAATACTGTATATTCTTGCTTTGACAATGTGCAGAACTGTCTGGTATATATATAGTTAAACCAGCAACTAGGAAAGAGGGAGGAGCATAAGGATAGCCCGGGAGAAAGAAACCGGAAGTAAATCACATCTTCCAAGTTGATTGGAAGAGGTGAACCATGACCCTACAATAAGGGAGTGGAAAATGTTTGGAATGTTATGCGTAACGGAAGAGAAGCAGACCTAAGCATTCCACCATGCTGTGCTGACGTATTGTAATCTTAATAAATGCTTTTAGGAGAAAAAAATGCCTGAAAGTCCTTTTAAGTGTTTCGTTACTCAGACACATGACAGCAGGCAGCACACGAAACCACGCCCCCTCCGGTCCGCAGAAGAACCTCTCTCCGTGGAACCGGTCCCTGGTGCTCAAAAAGTTGGGGACCTCTGATCTATTGCTACTGAACCTCTCCATAGAACGGATGGCTTCTTTTTTTTTAGTAATTTAGGCCGGGTTGTTTGATGGCCTTCTCCTTTAGCATCCTCAAGATCCCCGAACGTAGCTTCAAGACACAAAGAGCATGGCTGAATGTCACGTCCTCTTTTAATAACCTGTTAACTTTGTGCTTATTTCCTCAGCATTGACAAGATTTCAAAAGTCACCTCTCCCGTTTTGGTGATTCACGGTACCGAAGATGAAGTCATAGATTTTTCCCATGGTTTGGCAATGTATGAGCGATGCCCCCGGGCTGTGGAGCCCCTCTGGGTGGAAGGGGCTGGCCACAATGACATAGAGCTTTACGCACAGTACCTAGAACGACTAAAACAGTTCATATCTCATGAACTTCCTAATTCCTGAAGAAACCTACACTACTTGATTTTTTTTTCTTTATTTTTTTCTTTTCTTTTCTTTTCTTTTTTTTTTTTTTACCTCATTTAACTGTGAATAGAAGAATTTACCTGTTTTTGCACATGCATTAACTGGATTAACTGTCATAGCTTTATACTATGAAGAAGAAAAGCCCTTTTGATAGGGCAGGATCCAATCAAGTCTTGACTGTCTCCTTTTTTTTATATCAGGAAGCTATTCTAATGGTCACTACTGTAACCCACAATATTTTGTACGTTCCTTACACTAGAAAAGCTGGAGATGTAGAAGGACAATGGATGAACGTGAGGACACTATCTGTGCAGTATAATATTTCCCCATTTTCCTATCCTGCCCTTCAGGTAGTTCGTCTTAGATATCTTATATGTATAGGGCTTTTTTTTTTTTGCTTTTTTTCCCTCTCTCTCTCTGTCTCTTTTTAAAATCTTCCCGTGATCTGGAACGCAAAGGATCTGGACCACAGCTTCAATCTTAAGAGCATTTTCCATTTTTAAACTGTGTTCACTGTAACTGGAAAGGAATTTTGTGGTGATTTTTCATTGTGTTTCTTAGGGGAGCATTTTTTGGTGACTTTTCCTTCCGATCTACAATAATGAATGAAAATTTCTGGAGAATGTCCCCAGTTGGTACACACTGCGGCAATTCTCAAGCAACATTTCAATCGTCTTTTTTTTTTTTTTTTTTTTTTTTTTTTTTTTTTTTTTTTTTTTTTTTTTTTTTTTTTTTTTTTTTTGCAAATTTACAAAATGAAATACTTGGAAAGTTATAATAACTAAATGGATAAACCTTTGAATTCTTCTTTAAAAAAAAAAAACAACTGGAAGAAATGTACAAATTTACTAACCCCCCCTTCCTAAGATAATGTTCTCAATCTTGAATTAAGAGCCGGATTTGGCAGTTACTTGTGCGACTGGCATTCCTTCTAAAGATTTTTTTTAAAAAAATATTGTATATAAGTGGGTTTACTTTAATGCATAACTCCTGGCAATTTATAAAATTTAGGTCTAGTTAACAAATTCTGGTTTGTATATGAATATGTTTTGTTATAAGTTTTTATCCCTGTGTTGCTTTGCTATTAAAGGTTTTTATAAGATTTCCAGGGCAACTAACAAATTGCACATTTGTTTTTGATGAATTTGTGTAACTCATTGAAACTGATCCTTTTTTTTTGTTTGTTTGTTTGTTGGTTGGTTTAGGGGAGATTTATCATTTTGACACTGGAATTGCACAGAATATGCAAAACACTTTTAAAATCATGACACTAAAAAGGCCTAAAGTTTTGTCCCCAAGTTGAACGGCCTTAAATGTACTGTAAGCCTTTGATTGTTGTACAAACAGATTGCAATTGATTATGGTTTGTGTATTTGTTGCCAGAACGCAACAACAGTGGTTGTAATGGAATAAAGGATGCATGGAATAGAGATTGCCAATTACTGTATTGCTTTTTCCTAATCACTGTACTGTAACTGAGAATATACTGTATATAACCAAATATTTCTGTTGGTATCTACCAAAGGATAATAGAAGGAAGAGAGAATCATTCATTTGAGGTATTTGGTTGCAGTATGGCAGCAGGGTGGTTTAATGATGTTGCTGTTGGAATCGAACGGGGGAATTTAAATCACTAATTCCCATTTTAGAAAGAGCATCTCTTCTGGGATTATTTTGTGTTCTGCCATGTGTAGGCCAGTCTGGGCTTAGTTGTGTTTGATTTTACACAGAGCTTCATTCCAGCTTACTGGCATTCAAGTATGTATTTTGGTTCTTTAGGGACTAAAAATTCCGCCAAGTGTTTCCTCTGTGGATCTAGACCAGGGGTAGGCAACCTTGGCTCTTTTATGACTTGGGGACTTCAACTCCCAGAATTCCTGAGCCAGGAATTCTGGGAGTTGGTCCACGAGTCATAAAAGAGCCAAGGTTGCCTACCTCTGGTCTAGATATTAACCCGTATATTGTGTCTTGGGGCCCCATTGTAGACCAGTGTAGTATTTGATCATCGTTCTCAACCTCGAGTTATGTCTCCAATGACAGTTTCCTAGCATTCTGAGACACAGCAACCATAAAAATTGTAGTGCATGCCCCCAAAACAAGATTTATAACATTCCTCTTATGGGGAAGCAGCAGCCAAGGAAAATTCCCAGCCTGTGTTACATCATGACCTTTTACTCTCAGGTTTGTTCTATAGTGCAGCCCCCCTCCTCCCCCCCCCCCATCTTCCCCAAAATGTTAATTGTAGTTTCTGGCTACCAAAAGCTGGCCTATCCTGCCTAGGCTGGTTGCCGGTGGCAGGGGTTTAATCACATAGAGCAGACCCTTCCCCTGAGCACACAATGGCAGAAGATGGCCAGTGGACTGGCCAAGCTTCCTTTCAATCCTGACTTTGGCTTTGTGAAATCCTTGCTGGGGAAAACATAGACCTCCTTAGATGCCTGCTGCAAAACATATTTGGCCATTTCTATTCCAAGGGCTATTATTTATGAGAGCCTGACACAGGCTTCGCTGCTGCCAATAAGCAAACTCTGAATGGGACAAAGAACTTCAGTGTTGCAGGACTGCCTCAGAGAAACACCTGCCTCAAAGCATGTAAAGCAGCTGCAGAAGGGGGAGATATTGGCGTATTTTACAGGCAGCTACTAAGTTTAAAAAAAATAATAGTTCAAGGCTCTGGCTGCAGCACAAATGCAATTTCCCCCACACCAGTGTTGAGGAGCAGAAGGTTAATTTCACAGCACACCAAAGCCAGAATAAAGATAATATATGTTATTTTGTAAAGAGCGAAGAACATTTCTCCTTAATGCATGGGAACAGGAGTGTTCAATGTGCAAGGCTAAAATAGGATTGGCTGCTTTGTGGCTTCTGATCGCCCGCAAACCTACGTGCTGTGTTTGTGGTTCAGCGAGTTGTGGGAAGACACCGTTTAGTAAACCCTGGTTTAACAAATTGGGGAAACCCAAGTCTTTCTATCCATTTTTTAAATTATTATTATATATTCAATTTCTGGAAGGCGCTAAGGCAGTGGTTCTCAACCTTTTTAATGCCGCGACCCCAACCGGTCGTAAGTCGAGGACTAAACCGGTCGTAAGTCGAGGACTAAACCAGTCGTAAGTCGAGGACTACCCAACCGGTCGTAAGTCAAGGACTTTCCCTGCCCGGGAGTGCCGCACATGCGTGGTTCCGCCCCCTGCACCGGCCGAGGCATAGCTGGCAAGCGGCAGAGACGGAGCAGGCCGACCACCAGCTGGCCCAGCCCAAGGGAGGTAAGGCACCCGCCGGAAAAGGGGAAAAAAATGGCGGACAAAAAAAATGGCGGATAAAAAATGGCCAACAGCCTTGCTTGGCGACCCCCGTGAAATGGTCGATCGACCCCAAATGGGGTCCCGACCCACAGGTTGAGAACCACTGCGCTAAGGAATCAGGGGTAGGCAACCTTGGCTCTTATGACTCGTGGACTTCAACTCCCAGAATTCCTGAGCCAGCATGGCTGAGCTTGGAAACTTCTCCCTTTCCCCTCAGCATGGCTGGCTCAGGAATTCTGGGAGTTGAAGTCCTCGAGTCATAAAAGAGCCAAGGTTGCCTACCCCTGCGCTAGGTATTTTCTCAAAGTTGTATATATCAGCTCTTCAAATGCTGGCAGCTGATATCGTGTAAGTTTCATGCCTCACACCAAGAGACTCGTGTTCAACCAGTTCTTGCATCAGCCGATCCTGTGAAATAACTTATCCAGACTCCTATTGAGTTCATATCAATAGACACAGGATTACCACAGCCGTTCTATCCGTTCTCCTAAAGAAAGATTGTTTGATTAAGTACATTCACACTTGGCTCAGAGATCCCTGTGTTATTCATGATATATAGCAAAGGTGAGGATGAATGGTTACCCAAACCCATGAGTTCTTCTGAGCTGCAAAAGTAAATTTAGAAAGCTCACGAGGTGTGTTGCTGGTTTGGAGGAATAATATTTATTAAGGGCCTCTGGCTTCTTGGGGAACTTTGCAAGGATTAAGAAGCTGGATGAGTCCCAAAGCTTCTCTTAGGCCCATGATGGCGAACCTATGGCACGGGGCAGTCAGAGCCCTCTCTGTGGGCACGCGCGCCGTCGCCCCAGTCCTAGGCCTTCAGCTGGGTTTTATAAAACCTTTTCGCTTTAGGCCTCTGCCATGTGCAAAAAAGAAAAAGGTTCAATCAGTCAATTTCAACTTCTCGCGGGGGGGGGGGAAAGATCTTGCAAAGTTGGAATTGATTGATTGAACTTTTTAGTCCCACCCAGTCTGCTGTTATCACCGCAGCCACACCCACCCAATTGGCCACGCCTACCCAATGGGCCACGCCCACCCGGCACCCAAGGATACATAAGTGGGTTTGGGGTTGCAGTTTGGACACTCGGTTTCTAAAAGGTTCGCCATCATTGTCTTAGGCCA